CCAAAGAAGGGGTTGTGACAACATTCCGGTGCACACTATGCTAGCAATCCTTCCTATTCAGTTAATCTGTTCTATGGTGTAGATACATCCATCTAGAGAATGAACTTGTAGGTTCAGGAAGGAATTCCCTCCACTCCATGCAAGGCACTGCACAATTGGCCTACTGCATTCCATGAAATAACTTTGGATCCACTGGGGACAGCAGCTTAATGATATTTTGGCTTCAGACAGACAGGTCTTGGAGGACATAACACAGACTGGTCAGGAACTTTTTCTCTGAGCCTGTCCTCATTAGATAAGTCTGTTTACTTAGGTCTGTACAGTAAGAGGTCATTGGCAACACTGCAGAGTAATGGAAAGGCCTCTCCAGCAGGAAGGACAGAGGATGAGTTAAATCTCAAAGGAAAATCTTGTTTTGAAGTCTCATGGGGTTTCACACTTATCAGATTCTGGCCTAACAGCTGATCTCTGCTTCTTACAGTTGAAGCTGGGGGTTGCAGATTACATGAGATAACCATGATGAGAAGTTTGGCATGAGAGGCAGAGACACAGTCAGAATGGATGGTGTGACCTAGATTCATAGATATTTAGGTCAAAAGGGACCATTATGATCATCTTGTCTGACCACCTGCACAACGCAGGCCACAGAATCCCACCCAACACTCCTGCAAAAAACCTCTCACCCATGTCGAGCTATTGAAGTCCTCAAATCGTGGTTTAAAGACTTCAAGGAGCAGAGACTCCTCCAGCAAGTGACCCGTGCCCCATGCTACAGAGGAAGGCAAAAAACCTCCAGGGCCTCTTCCAGTCTGCTCTGGAGGAAAATTCCTTCCCGACCCCAAATATGGCGATCAGCTAAACCCTGAGCATATGGGCAAGATTCATCAGCCAGATACTACAGAAAATTCTTTCCTGGGTAACTCAGATCCCACCCCATCTAATATCCCATCACAGGCCATTGGGCCTATTTACCATGAATATTTAATTACCAAACCCATGTTATCCCCATCATACCATCTTATTGAGTTTAATCTTAAAGCCAGATAAATCTTTTGCCCCCACTGCTTCCCTTGGAAGGCTGTTCCAAAACTTCACTCTTCTGATGGTTAGAAACCTTCGTCTAACTCGTCACAAGAACATCATTTATTTGTTTTCCTCTAAGACTTCTCTGGTTTTCAACCACTTTTTACACCCCCATGGGAAGACTAAACCAAGTCGAGGGGGTACAAGTAGCCTAAGGAAAATTCTGATACACAGCATGCTGCTCATCCTGTGAGGCAGAATATAATTGGGGAAGTGGAGCCGCAAGATCATTTGTGTCAGCATTCAAAATTCTGCAATTCTATTGGTTTCTTATGCCCGTTCAGGTGTGAGATAGGTGATAATCCATCTAGGTAGAGACTAACCCTGTCCACTGAGGGATACTAATGCATTATTGTTTTTAATATGGCTGAATATAAATCTGTACATTTAAGAACAAAGAATATAGGCCATATTTACAGGATGGGGGACTCTATCCTGAGAAGCAGTGACCCTGAAAAAAATTTGGGGGTCATAGTAGATAATGAGCTAAACATGAGCTCCCAATGTGATGTTGTGGCCAAAAGAGCTAATGCAATCCTTGGATGCATAACCAGGGGAATCTCGAGTTGGAGTGGAGAGGTTATTTTACCTCGGTATTTGGCACGGGGTGACTGCTGCTGGAATACTGTGTCCAGTTCTGGTGTCCACATTTGAAGAAGGAGAGGGTTCAGAGAAGAGTAACAAGAATGATTAAAGGGTTAGAACACATGCCTTATAGTGACACATTCAAGGAGCTCAATCTATTTAGCTTAACAGAAAGAAGGTTAAGAGGTGACTGGATTACAGTCTGTAAGTACCTACATGGGGAACAAATATTAGATAATGGGCTCTTTATTGTAACACAGAAAGGTATAATATAACCCCAGGTCTGAAAGTTGAACCTAGACATATTCAGACTGAAAATAAAGGATACATTTTTTTAACAGTGAGAGTAATTAATCACTGGAACAAGATTTGTGATGGATTCTCCATCACTGACCAATTTTTAAATCAAGATTGGTTGTTTTACTAAAATATCTGCTCTAGGAATTATTTTGGGGAAGTTCTATGTATTCCATTATAGAGGAAGTCAGACTAGATGATCACAATGGTCTCTTCTGGCCTTGGAATCTACGAATCTATGAAACACTCAAGGACTGTTCTTGCAGAGTTGTTAAATGGATGAATTTCCAATTTGGTTGTGGAAGTTTTGTATTCTGTAGCAGAGTTGGATGAAGAATTCACAGTGAACATCTTGTCTATTCACCTATTTTCTGTTTGCAAGTTGTTGTCAAACATCTCACAACTCTCTCAAATTCAATAATTATTCAGAATTACTTGACAAAAATTTCAGCTATAGCTCATTCAAACAGTTCGTTGCAAATATTCAAAATTTTAGTTGAGTGGCTTAGTTTTGGGTAGATACATAGATCACATAATGTTTCATTATTATTTATTATTTGTATTGGGGTAGCAGCCAGGAGTCCCAGTCATGGACCGAGACCTTACCGTGGTAGATGCTGTGTAAACACATAACAAAAAGACAGTCCCTGTGCCTATGCTGAATGAACATAACTCTTAGAATCAGGTTTCTGGCTTGTCATATTGACAACTTCAGAATTCACTTCCCAAGAATATTCTCCAATATTCACTTAAAATGTGCTATTTGCATGAACATCATGATCCAGTAAACCCATTTCTTAGAACATTCTCAGAAAGTGAACACACACACAAAGCACAAAACACAGTCAAAGTGAATTTATTTAGAAGAGTGAACCAAATATTCATAGCAAAGTTTTGCAATATTTGCCCATGTCTGCTGTGCTCTAATGTAGGCCACATTGGTTGGTGAATTGTTCATTTCCGAGCTAGGCCCAGATACTTTCTAAATACAGCCGACAACAACAACAGTGACTCAGAAAGTCACTTATGGTTTCTTCTGTTGCTCCATAAAGAACATGAAGGCCATAAGTGAGAGCAGCCATAACATGCTTACACAAAAATACTCTCTACACTGTCTTATATTATAATTGACTGAGCAAAATGGTTATTTCTCCCTCCAAGATACAACATGTCATATTTTTTGACCTTATCACCCATCAGTAAATCTCCCCTTGTCTTAAAATCTCAAGCCAATTTCCTCATCTTCTAGCTGCTGGGAGTTGTCAGTCAGTCTAACGCTAATGTAATCCATTTAGAGTTCAAACTGGAGCCTATCTTAGTTAACAAATGGGCTTCAAAACCTCTGAATTTCAAGCTAACAATTTAGAACAGGGTTATCAAAGTCCTGGGCTGTTTAATGTAGTTATTCTACCACCCATGACAGAATCAGATTCTGCAGACTGCAAGGTTTGTTTGTTTTTTTTAATTAAGTTTTTAGTTCTAATGGTTGAGAAGATAATATTCTTAACTGGAACCTGTGTAGGGCTACATGAGGTTGAAAAACACCTGACAGCTAAGAGAAGTGTTAATGGTCTCCATTCAATAGGGTGCTAACTCTGAAGTTTAATTATAATTCAAAGGCCAGATTTTCAGATGACTCTGTTCCTGATTTACATGTCTAATTACCATAATTGTGCATGCAAATCAGGCAACTGACTATGCAAATGAACAACTGAACAAAGGGCTGGAATAGCAGTCATTTTCCTCCACTGAATGTAACAGTGACTTTGTCAACTATGGATTTCTTGAGACTAGGATTTAAAAGTGTGATGTTAGCACGTGCCAGCTAACACATGCTAACAAACATGGTTTAAAAGTCTAGCACAGTCAAGGCACACTGCTTTTAATGCATGCTAACTGGTCAAGACAAAGCTGAGGTTTCCCCTAGCATTGAAGTGAGGGTGCCTTGTACTACCTGTACTTTAAAAACAAGTTTGTTAGCAGATGTTATCTAACATCACACCTTCAAATTCGAGTGTGGACAAGGCCTGGAAGGGCCACACGCTACCCTTGATCTTCTACCAACCTCCACTTATCATCTGTGGTAGCCCCATAGTGGTAGAACCTTGGTCACAAACTATGTCGCTCCAGCCCATGGATCATAATTAAAAATATAATTTACCCTAACTTTACCCATGATGCCTCCCCTATATTAAGTGCTGCATTCTGGATCATACTATCTCGTAATTCAAGCTAACATCACTGATCACCCGGAGAAATATTTTTTTTTATCAGTCCTCATCCTGCACCATAGAAGTCAATAAGAGTTTTGTCACCAATTTCAATGGGAGCAGAATCACGTCCGTTATGAGTGGAAGACAAGAGAAGAGTTCCAACTGTCTACTGCCCAGAAAAAATGCAATCTATTTGATCTGGTTTTGAAGTAAGAATAAAGTTATGGCATTGAGCTATACAGCATACCCTCACTGAGGGCCAAATTTTGAACCCCTTATTTCCATTGGCAAGCAGGTACTTGCTTGAGAACTGCCACTGAAGTCAATGGGAATTACTGCTCACCAATGGCAGTGAGGCATTCACAAACTGGCCCTAAGATGGGCGCCTCAGAAACCATTTTAAACTTAATATCACAGGCACATCCTGAAAACATAAACAGGGCAAAAGATTTATTACATTATAGGAATGGGCAGGCAGATTTCATTTGGCATGAAGAAGTTTGGCACAAGATTCAAACACAAATTCATTTTAGGTATGTTTGATGAAATCAGAAAAAGGATATAAACTTGGGGAAATGAACAGCATTAAAGCCACCCCAGCAATACAAACCATCCTCAATACCTTCCTGTTTAAGAGAGATGAATGCATTTAGAATAAGTGTAAATATTAAGGACTCCAAGGTCTCAAGAGTGAGGTGTTTTATAGTGAATCTACCTCACCTGAGTACTTAGTAAATAGATTTTCATTTTCCACTATGATTGGTGCAAGCCATTTATCCAGAATCAATCACATTAAAATCTTTTGTTAAAGTTCTCACTAACCTTCCATGGGGGTATTATTGTCTGGTCGATTTGCAAAGACAACATCCACATACTCGAGCTGCAGTCTCTGGAGAGAAGCCTTTAATCCTAGAAGCAGCAAGAAAAAAAAAAAATACATATCATTAGAAATAGCCAGAATGAAGTTTGGAACACATCACAAAAGAGGTGACAGTTCCGACATATCACAAGACAGAACTATCCTAAATTGTACACTGGAGATGGACAATGATGTCTCATGTCTGCTCAGCCACAGAAAAAAAATATCAAAGTTTGGCTTCATGCAGAATTCAGAGCACTCCACAAGAATTTTTTTTTTAATTACACTCAAATTTGGATTGGAAAAGACACCATCCTGGTGAGCCTGTCAATTAGCAGCCTCCACGGACAGAGTTCACTGATGCTGTTTCAGTTAATCTAATCAAAATTCTGTCAGAGAGTATTTTTGCATTACCCGATGGCACATTACATTGATACAGTTCCACATAATTAAGCCCTGCCACTCCAGGGGCATTCCAGAAATGAAAACCCAGGGGAGAGGAATCATGACATTCTGTTATATATTTATGATTACCAAGACTAATACAACCCTGAAAAAAATGTGATACTGAACAGGCTCCTTCAAATGCCACCTTTACTAAGTTAAACAGAATTTACCCTCTCTTTGCAAAAGTTATCCAGCAAACTACAACAAGCTAAACTCATAATGTTGCACAAATAGCCAGGCTACAGGCTTGTGGCCACGTAGCCCTGGGGACCAGAAGAGTTGGGTTCTATTCCTGACTCCTACAGATTTATGATGTGTCAGGACAAAGTCACTTTCTGTATCTCAATTTCCTCATCTATAAAATGGGAATAACAATAATGCTTATTGATTTCACAGGAGTGCTGTGAGGCTTAATTCATTATATATGTAAGTGCTTTGAGATCTACAGTTTGATCATGCTATAGGAATGCAAGGTTCTATGTCGTCTTTTCATAGCAGTAAGATGAACATGTAATATGTCTGAGTGCTCCCATGTAGCGTACTGTAATGCTATATTTATTTTAAATTGTTTAATCCCCTCCTTTGCCCACCCCAAAAGAGGACTCGAACCTCAGTTGATGTAAACTGGCTTATTTCCAGAGGGCTAAATCCCCAGCTGGTGTAAATCAGAGCTATGCCAGCTATAAACAAAAGTTCAGGGGTGTTCATAATGACACAATTATAAGAACAATTCAGAAAACAGATAAAAATATACACTTCAGAGAACTAGTGTACTGTATTTTTAAATGGAGAACCTGGCTCATTTAAATTAGTTATAAAAAGTGAATGATCATTTTTGTAAGCACTTGATCAAACTGCATCCCTCTGCCACAAATCACAGCACTTGTCATGTTTGAAAATGTTTTAGAAATCTTTCAGGTAGCTGTACAGTGAAGTCCTCTTGTCAAGGTTCATAGATAAAACCCTCTGTTCCTGACACCTCACACAGGCACTCTGTACCTCTAATTAAAGTATAACTACCACTGGCTATTGCTGAGATAGCATAGCACGGAATGCACAGCTCTACAATGTTCAGAGAGAACTTGAACTGTGTGTCCCTGGGGGCTCTCCACTTTGGTAATTTTAATTCCACATGAAGGTTAGAGGTCCTTTTCCTTTCTCTTTCTTTTGTGTCTAAAATGATCAGTATCTTAACTGTAACAAGGCAAAAGGTTTGCAGTGAACAATTCATTAAATGTATTCAGCCTTTTTTTCCTGCTTGTGAACTATCTGCAAACAGGCTTACTGGGAGAATGGTTCACACAAACGTATTCCAGCTTGTGCACTGGTGGCAAATAATTTGCCACAACTACTACTTCACATTTTCTCCTTATAATTTCCTGTGCATGCTGTGTATAATAAGCCAAAACAAAACCCTAGATCCAGCTACACCCCAATGTTGGGGCATTCCAGATCCAGGTATTGAGGCTTGAGCCCATCTCTATAGCATAATACATTGTTACTGTGCATAGTTAATATTTGTAGGTCTGAACTTTTCTTTTTCTAACTTGCCTTATTTTTAACACCAGCAATGTTTTGGATCAAATGTGAATGCACCTCGAAGAACGGGGCATACATTTTAACAGCTTTTGCAATAGCTACAGGACACCATTAGGTTTTATCTCATATGTGAGAGGCAAGACTACTCAGCTCCAAGATTCACAACTCAATAAAAAGTATTTCATTTTTCACCATGCCTGTAAATTTCCATTACTGCAAAATAAAATCTACTCAAGGGGTATATTTTTCATATGAAATTTGATATTGAAATTTAATAGACAGTATCACTTAGCAAAGAGCTTGGTTGTGTAATGATGCACACCAAACATTTCTCTATAGGAATCTGCAAGATTTTATTTTAGCACATAGTGCATGGAGTTCTTCACTTTAGAATAAGCGGGCTGACATATAGCACATAATTTTGTGGCAGTATAAAGAACCTATCATACAAATTCCTTTCAGAACAGAAGACAGAAGCAGGTCAAATAGGCACAAGAAATGCGTGGTTTGAAATCCCTTTGTGTAGTGTATGAACACAGATATAGGGGCAGATTCTTTCTTGCCAGAATGCAGAAGGAGCCTCCCTTCCTGTAAGCTCCCTCCCCTTCATGAAGGTACCAAACACAATAGCAGCTCTGTACTCTGGGAAATACAGAAATGTGGGGCCCTGGCTGTAGCACCATTCCTTGCAATAACTTGCGGAGGTGAGAGACCATCTGCATTGGGAGTGCCTCAACATGCAGGGGAAGTGTACACATTGCACTGTCTCCCTGTGGTCATGAACTACCCAGAGGGATTTCAGTCTACCCATCTCTCCTAGCTATTTGACCTGCTTCTGTTTTCTCTTGTGAATGGAATTTGTATTGCATATTTTACACTGCTATGAAATTATATGTTATATGTTATACACGTATCTGCTTACTCTAAAGCACAAGGACACCATGTGCTGGGTGCTAAAATATAATCAGCAGTTTTTGGCATGTACTGTTAAGCAACCAAGCTTTTTTGTATAGTCCTTGCTTAATTTCCATAACAAACTCTATAACAAAAATGCACCTCTTAGAGCACTATCCTCCCACACACTCTCCCCAGAGTGGCAAGAAGGCTCACTGAGCTTAACATGGGGCTGAGCTTGTCTGGCACAATCTGATCCTTAATATTTTGGTGCAGTATAGGAAGATCTCGAGAGCCAAATCTGCAGAAACTTCAACCACCTCAGCACCTATAATTGTGTATTACCCAAGTATTTGTCCAAACTCAATTTTTACATACAAATATGTATTATTATTATTAAACATGTATATTGCAGGAGCACAGAGAAGCCAACTGGGTTTCCCATTGTGCAAGGCACTGTCCAGACATGTGCATGTATCCAAGGGATGAGGCATGCAAGCCAAAAACCTGGCCACATTAAAAATTAGAGGCTGGTTTTAAACTTTTGGCTTCTACGGGCCATCTCATCTACTCTCACATTTCAGTCCCATAAACTGACCAAACCCATTGGGTCTATTTCATGTTTCAGCTCCTTTTTGCATGCCCCTCCAACATTCTTCTTTCAGGTGACTCAGAGCAATGCTATCACCTCCTCCTCTCCATGACTTGCATCCTACTGAACTATTGGTATTAACTCAATCACTCCCTTCCTCAATTTTCTCTTTTTACTAACTTATTCACTTTCCTTTTTTTGGTCTGTACTCAGGGTTTTAAATCAAAGGGCCTCCAATACTGCTTCAATAATGCTTTTAAGATGTCAATTTTGGATGAAATCATAATCCTTTCCAAGAAGCTGCATTCTTCCTATAGGAAGTTTTCAGCTGAGACTGCTCACACTTAATACGATGGAACTGAGTCTGGATTTTCTTCTGTGTTCTATATGCACATTACATACAAAAATGACATTAAATAAATTCAGATCAGCTGTCGGCCCCACCCCCTTAGGTCACCCACCATCCAGAGAGACTCAAAAGATGATGGGGGTGGCAACTGGCTGGACTGAGTTTGCTGGGGGGTTCCCAGGGTGTATGCCAGGGACTCCTTGCCCCTCCTGATTAATCACAGCTCAGTTTGGTGGTGTGCTGATAGTGGTATGAAGCCCTCCTGGCTGGAAGGGAGGGAGGAGCTGCCCCCGCTTTTAGACTGAGCGGGGGGAGAACAGAGGCATTCAGAAGGAGGTGAAGTACCACATACAGAGGAGAAATGGGAAGAATACACAAAGGAGAAATGGAACAAATGATAAGAACAATGGAGAATAAAAGAAAGATTTCAAAAGAGATTATGGGTCAGAACCTCAGCTGGTGTAAATCGTCAGAGCTCCGGAGACTTCAATGGAGCTACATTGACATTCACCAACCGGGGGCTTGCCCACAGATTTTAAACTTTTTCATATACACAAAACCAAGAGGAGTTCTTTGTTTTGGTTTGTGTGCTCAGGTCCTGCCCCTCTCAAATTCTCCCTCTCTCCTTTATGCTTCTCTTCTTTCAGTAAAGAGGTCGGTACAATCACAGATTCTTTTCAGCCTTTTTTGCCATAGCCAGTCATTTTTGCCATTTTATTGAACAGATCAGGTGAAAGGAAATTTATCTAGCATGATCAAAATCCCCAGTCAGTAAACAGCCAACAAGAGGTAACAACAGGATAATTTAAAACTCAGTCAGACTTCACAAATGCAAATATTGGGGCTGATCCCATTGAACTCCTATTCATTTTATAAAGAATAGGATCAGGCATATTCTCAAGAACAATGTTTTAAACCTCCAGCAGTCTGCACAAGGCAAGCAATACTGGGAGATAGGTGGTGTAATTAATGAGGGGTTCAGGTGAGCAATATACCTGAAAAAACTGTATACAATAATATATGTCACAGATTGCTGAATGGATTTGTTTAAGAACATAAGAACATCAGAATGGCCATACTGGGTCAGACCAAAGGTCCATCCAGCCCAGTATCCTGTCTACCAACAGTGGCCAATGCCAGGTGCCCCACAGGGAGTGAACCTAACAGGTAATGATCAAGTGATCTCTCTGTTGCCATTCATCTCCACCCTCTGACAAACAGAGGGTAGGGACACCATTCCTTACCCATCCTGGCTAATAGCCATTAATGGACTTAACCTCCATGAATTTATCCAGTTCTCTTTTAAACCCTGTTATAGTCCTAGCCTTCACAACTCAGGCAAGGAGTTCCACAGGATGACTGTGCGCTGAGTGAAGAAGAACTTCCTTTTGTTTTAAACCTGCTGCCCATTAATTTCATTTGGTGGCTCCCTAGTTCTTATGGGAACAAGTAAATAACTTTCCCTTATTCACTTTCTCCACACCACTCATGATTTTATATACCTCTATCATATCCCTCATTAGTCTCCTCTTTTCCAAGCTGAAAAGTCCTAGCCTCTTTACTCTCTCCTCATATGGGACCCGTTCCAAACCCCTAATCATTTTAGTTGCCCTTTTCTGAACCTTTTCTAGTGCCAGTATATCTTTTTTGAGACGAGGAGACCACATCTGTATGCAGTATTCAAGATGTGGGCATACCATGGATTTATATAAGGGCAATAAGATATTCTTCGTCTTATTCTCTATCCCTTTTTTAATGATTCCTAACATCCCGTTTGCTCTTTTGACTTCCACTGTACACTGCGTGGACTTCTTCAGAGAACTATCCATGATGACTCCAAGATCTTTCTCCTGATTTGATGTAGCTAAATTAGCCCCCATCATATTGTATGTATAATTGGGGTTATTTTTTCCAATGTGCATTACTTTACATTTATCCACATTAAATTTCATTTGCCATTTTGTTGCTCAATCACTTAGTTTTGTGAGATCTTTTTGAAGTTCTTCACAGTCTGCTTTGGTCTTAACTATCGTGAGCAGTTTAGTATCGTCAACAAACTTTGCTACCTCGCTGTTTACCCCTTTCTCCAGATCATTTATGAATAAGTTTAACAAATCAATGATTAAAAAGCAGATGTTGAAGACGTAAAGTATTTGAAGTTTCTTGTATGCATTGCATTTCTTCACCCCTTGTGCAGAGAGCTAGCATGAGGCCCTCTGCTCCACTTAGGGGACTGAACTGGGACTGCACAAGAGGTTGGCTGGCTGAGCAGCTGCAGTGGAGTGCCTGAGAAGCCCCAGCTTGCCACAAACTGATCTCCAATCAAGAAATGGAACCGGCATGGAAGATCAATTTGGGGGAGGCCAGCACAGGGGAGGGGCTGTGGATCCACTTTTATGTCCCAATGCCCAAAAAACCATGGAGGGACTATGACTGCTATTCCAGCCCACAGTTTGGAGAAGCAGCTCTGCACACTGGCCCAGGTTGGGACGTGAATTTCACCTCTCTTCATCCTCACACTCCATCTGCACTGAGTCTGAATACTTGGGCTTCATGCAAGTGGAGTGAATCTCATCTTTGTTTTTTCCTTATTCAAAGTGTTCCTTAAGCCAGATGGATTCTTGGAATGGATAAGGCACATTTACAGCACATACCTTCAATGATGTGTTTTCTTGAAAGCCCCCTTTCTGTTTCAGCTCTGCAAAGATACACCAGGTAAAATTACTATTAGTGTGGGTGTTATTATTATTATAAGACTTCTAAAGAACTGATGAATATAAAATTAGCAAATCTAAAATCCAGTCAGAACAAGCTTTGAATGTTTGAGAAATGAGAAAATTAGAACTCAAATAACAGAGCTACCCTTCACTGGAGAACAAACAACCAAACCCCAGAGACAAGAGCATCCAGAAGCAACAAAATTCATATTAATAATAACCGAGGAACATTCATCCTTTCTATAGTAATGTACAACCTGACATGCAATGTATCATTCTTTTAGAAGTGGGAGAATGCAGTGATTAAGTTTAATTGGAAGATGAAGCAAAAACCAATACAAGCTTCAATTAAATTTGGTGGACTAGGATTTGATTCAATCCCCTGTCCTAACTGGTCTCTTCAGAACAACCTTATTGAAACTTTCTTGTTCACACCACCTTTTGACAACTATTCCAAAAAGATATAAAATAGAATAATTGCTTTTCCCTCAAATGTAGACATACAGTCAGTTTTATGAACTGCAACAAAGTAATTAATATGGGCTTTCAGAGATACCGCAGTCCTTATTAGGATGAGTCAATAGGAATTTTGCTTGAGTAAGGACTGCAGGGTCAGGCCCAAAGTTGTTAAACAATGACACAGTCTCTTTGCGTAGTGTATATTCTGTAGACATCTCACTTCTAAGGAAAAACTACAAGAAATTACATCCATTTTATGTGGCCCATATTTCAAATCTAAACTAGATTTAGAGGCAATATTACATTTTATAATCTTTCTTACAGACTGTTTAATTTTGTATGTGTTTGTAGCATATCAACCATATTTTGAGTCTGAAGCAAAGCAATGGCTCAATAAAGTAAAACTAGACCATTGCTATAAATCTACAGTACTGAAATGCATAGCATTCTCTTATTTATATCCAGACTTTGCTGGAGAAGCCAAAACCTATATCCTCTCTCTCCAGCTTCAAAATTTATGATAAATAACTTCAGTGAAATGACAAAATCATTTTACTCTTTTATAGAACATGTCCAAAGAAAACCTCCCAGTTCCACATGTTGCAGTTTTTATAAATTATGATACGGAGTAAACTTTACATTTTTTCTTAGACATTCTGATAGACTTTGATTTCAGTGTGTTACAAAATACATTGCGCAGATCAGATTGGAAGGAAGGCAGACAGACAGAAAGGTTGTACAGAGTTTGAAAAGCAAAACTCGTTAAATTTCTTTGAATAATTTAACCAATAGTTCAAACACTGGTAACATATCAGAAGTAAATTCAGCCAGTAAAAGTTGCAAAAAGAAAAGGAGTACTTGTGGCACCTTAGAGACTAACCAATTTATTTGAGCATAAGCTTTCGTGAGCTACAGCTCACTTCATCGGATGCATACTGTGGACAGTGTAGAAGATCTTTTTATATACACACAAAGCATGAAAAAATATCTCCTCCCACCCCACTCTCCTGCTGTTAATAGCTTATCTAAAGTGATCACTCAAATAAATTGGTTAGTCTCTAAGGTGCCACAAGTACTCCTTTTCTTTTTGTGAATACAGACTAACATGGCTGTTACTCTGAAACCAGTAAAATTTGTGCTTCAAGCCCACAACAGAGGGCAAACTCTCTTTCATTTAGCTCAACACTAAGAGAGAAATGGCTCATTTTTATCTCAAACAAGATGGTCTTTTTTATCTGAGCTCACTGCGGGGAGTGATCTTAAAAATATCTCCCTGACCTGTGGGTTTGAGTTAACACCGTGTTAAATAAAACGTTATCATGTTGGCAGGGTTGGGCAGCTTTCCTCCTGCGTAGTATTATGCTGGTTGTGCTCCTTCTGATTTCATCCATGTTTTGGAAATGGAAGTTTAAGAGACTGTACTTGAACAATCTAAATGAATTATCTTGCATCAAAAGAGTGCAGAGGGGTTATTCCTTTTGGTACCATTTGCTAGGGTCTAATGCCAGGTTAATATCTTTGTTGAGCACTGACTTCTTTAAAAGTCATCTTCAAATGAGAATAAATTAGCCCCGAGATTTCACTAACCTGTATATAACTTGGTTGCCTTAAAGCAGGGGTGGGCAAACTATGGCCTGCGGGCCACATCCAGCCCTCGGGACCGTCCTGCCTAGCCCCTGAGCTCCCGGCCCAGGAGGCTCGCTCCCAGCCCCTCCCCTGCTGTTCCCCCTCCCCTGCAGCCACGCCGCCATGCAAGCAGCGCGGCTTGTGCCCCCCCACTTCCCAGGCTTTCAAATAAACCTGTCCTGCCGCTCTGAGCAGCCTGGTAAGGGTAAGGGGATGGGGGGAGGGCAGGAGGTCCCGGGGGTCAGTCAGGGGATAGGGGGCAGTTGGATGGGGCAGAGGTTCAGGGGGACGGTCAGGAGACAGGGAGCAGGAGGGATTGGATAGGGGGTAGGGTCCTGGGGGGTCGGGGAGGACAGGGAGCGGGGGGGGAGGATGGATGGGGGTGGGATCCTGGGGGGGCAGTTAGGGATGGGGGTCCTGGAAGAGGGTTGTCAGAGGACAAGGAGTGGGGGAGGGATGGATGGGTCGGCAATCCCAGGGGGCCTGTCAGGGGGCAGGGGTATGGATTGGGGATAGGGCAGTCAGGGGACAGGGAGCAGGGGGTGTTGGATAGGGTGTGGGGTCCCGGGGGGGGGCAGTTAGGGGACAAAAAGCGCATGGGGTTGGATGGGTTGGAGGTTCTGAGGGGGGGCAGGAAGTGGGAGGGGGAGGATAGGTGGCAGGGGCCAGGCTGTTTGGGGAGACACAGCATTCCCTTCTCGGCCCTCCATACCGTTTTGCAACCCCAATGTGGCCCTTGGGCCAAAAAGTTTGCCCACCCCTGCCTTAAATGGATAAAGCCATGCAGAATTAAACTGTATTATCTGGAACAAAACAATTATAAAACTTACTTTCCACCCCAGTAGAGTTTTGTTGTTATGACCAGACTGGACCTCCTATACATAAAAAAGAAAGTGTGTTGCAATTTTGTTTTTAACAGGCATATGGAGTAAAGATCAAAACAAAATCCACCCTTTTTAGGTGTTGTCCCACTCCCAAAGTGGCAATTTCTTTTTATTTACAGCTAAAGCAGTCATAAGGTTTGTCTTCAAAGGAGACTCTCAATTGAAGGTTCTTAACTTTAGCCTGGAGGACAATGCATAACTATGGCTCTATGTTCTGATTGCTTCTCATGAATAACTATATATACACACTTTCTTATACCAGTCCAAGCGTAGATGATCAAACTTTCATTGTTTGATCAATAATGCAGTACAACCTTGTTACATTGTATACAAAATGTGGACCCTAAAATAAATAAGGAAAGTAGCTTCTGTACTCTGAGATATAAGCAAAGTTAGTATTTTCCTTAAGATTTAGGGGCCAATTCTCCTCTCACAACTGTGTAAATCAGCTGCAACTCCATTGAAATCAATGGAGTTAACTAGTGTGAAAGTGATGGTAGTGAGAGAAAAATCAGAAATGCTCAGTTCAGCATTTAACTCTTCCAGAAAAACAAAACATGCTCTGCCTGTAGCTGCTGCTAAGCAGTTAGGCATTACAGTGTCACAAGAACCCACAGTGGTTAATGATAAACATCAAACTATTCTGGCGATTTCAATAATGCTGCTGTGTCAAGAGAAAAGAGTGTAGAAAACGTCACCAAAAGCATCTGATGTAAATTACTGTTATGAAACTACTTTAATGAGAAGCAGTATGAATATTGTTATACAGTGACCTTGAGATATTAAAACCAAAAGAATGATCCATTTGCTAAGTTTGTCTATAAACTCCAATGTACTGTATTACTAAAACAAAGATCTATTGGCTGGAAAATACTTTGCTGTATACAACAAAAATCTTTGTCAACCGCTCTCCAAGGGCCTGACCCATGGCTATTAATCAATAGAAAGGCTCCCAATGATTTAAATGAACACTGAATAGGGCCCAGTATTTTGTTCTGACTTCAATCAGCTGCAGGACTGCAGCAAGAAAGATTAAACAAAATATGTTTCATAGTTTAAAATACTTAAGAAAATAACACAGCAAGTATTAGACACACTTGCTGACAGTGAATTCCATTAAATGTGCACACACAGAACGTATAGTTGAACAAAACGGCTCCACTACATAAACAAGCCTGAACATTTTGGGGGCAAGTTTTCAAGAACAGGGGTTTGTTCCTGGTAAAGTCAATGAGATTTCTGCCACTGACTTAAAAAAGAACTGGCTCTGACCTTATCCCTAGGGGACAGATTTGTAACTCCCTAGGGAGTTAGGCACCTAAATACCTTTAAAAATGTGCCCCAGGTGCCTACGTTGAATATATTCAAAGGGGCAAAAACATGTAGCAGTGTGTACAGCTTAGGCATCCTTTTAGAAAATCTCCCCATTTTTGTTTAAGATAATAAAAATTATTTTAATTTTAGAGTAACTCTTAAAATGCTGCATAGATCCTGAAGAGATTAATGATATAGAGCAGCTACAGGATTTTTTATTTGTACTTTGTACTTTGTTCTGCAGCACACTGAGTCTCTCTTGAATAATCATCCCACTAAAGTATACTTATATTTGATGTGTTGAGAATTGGAATGCCATTGGGATCATTCATTAGTGAAGGGATGAACAGGACAGATAGTGGAGATCTTTAAAGATCATGTAAATGCCACTTAAGCTACACAAATACATTCTAGTGTACACACATGAATGAATCATTTAAATTAGGTCTAATCTCATATGAGGTATTCAAAAAGAAATCCCATCATGCTTTCTATCTCTTTATATATAACATTACATGGGGAAAAAAACCCATTGCTAAGATTGCAAAGTCAAGCAGTCTCAAGCCGGGAACCCAGAAAATGAGGAGCACACAATTAGAGACCACCTATGAAAAGTTTGGTTTAAGTGACTTGCCCAGCATCACATAGAAACTCTGTCGAAAAGGTAGGGATAAAACACCCTCCAGTTTTCCAGAGCAGCATTCAACTGCCTTAACCAGGAGCCCATCCTTTCTCTTCCTGCAATCCCCTGCCTCAATCACTGCACATTCCAGCTTCTAGAACAAATGAGGCTGGAGACCTACAGACAAAAGTCTCCTTCACAGCAACCTGATTGATCCCCAGAACAAGTCCATACTGTGCACTGAAGGAGGCAGGGGTCCTATGGAAAAAAATAGTGTGACAATGATGTTATTAAAGACTGTATCATAATGTAACACCCAAGGGAGCTGAATTACGGTTGCACAGAAAACCTGAATTCTGGTATTTTCTAACTTTTCCTAACAGTAAAAACAACATATTTTTTCCCAACCCGGTTCTCAAAAATGGCTGAATCTTTCCAAAAAAATTTCTGCCCAAGACAGACACCTGTTATGGAAAATTTTATCCCAAACAAAGTTTGGCAAAATTATAAACCACAACTGAAAACAGAGGTTCATAACAGGAAGCATTGGGCAATCTTAGTAATAGGAAGTGCCACCAGCTCTGCCTAGGACTTTTATTCCAGCTTTTCCAACCAGCTACCGGATCCAGCACATGTTAAAAAAGCTACTATTTTTTAAAACAAAAGAATTCAGATATGTTCTGTGGTCCTGATCTTCTACCCCTGAAGTAAAAGGGAGTTTTGCCATTGACTTCAATTGCAGTAATTGTCAGGCAGGCTCTAAAATCTATACAGTACCTCCAGCCCTTCTTTTTGATTATGCTTCCCAGAATCAGCTCAGCCCTGGGGAGGAAAAAAAATGCACTTGAGTATAAAATACTTTAAAGACAAGAATGCACTCAACATAAAGTAAACCATGAAACCAATTATTCATTGGAAGTCTCTGCCATAAGCACCGATACGTAACATAAAAAAAAAATCTGCTCACATTCAACCTTTATTTTTTTCTGTTTGACACATTGCCCCATGTCCTTGCTGACCTGAATGTGCCTTTTTTGCACTGACCTTATGAGGCAGAGAGTTGGAATTTAACAATTCAGTGCCCTGTGCTAAGCCGAATCAATATAAATGTCACACTTGTAAAGTCAACTGTGAGTCAACTGATTTGTTTTTAATTATGGCATTTCTCCCCTCTCCAAACATCAGCACAAAGTCAGACAGTGATTGGTCAGAAACACACTGACATTTCAATTTAGCTATAGAATGTCTACCAAACACATGGCAGAAAATTATAAGCCAAATCCTTAACTGTCTTGCACGGGCCCATATGGCCCAAATGCTGCAGAAATGTCATTCTGTTGGGCGGGTGACCCAGGCAGCTGAGAAACTGTGTATCAGCCTGAGTGAGTACTGCTCAAGTGACATCTATACTGGGTCTACACCGGGGGATGTGGAGGAGGGAAGTTGGCCTGTTACCCACAAATGGGAGAATGGCCAGCAGAGACTACGTTGCCAGTATCGCCTTGAAGCATGTGTTGATGTTAGGGTTTTCTTCCTTCAGACCCATTGTGCATCAGGGCATGTTCATCCAAAACACAACCCTGCAAGTAGGGCTTTGTTCTTTTTAAAGTTAGTCAGTTTTAAGGCTGAGTGGTACAAAGCCACCTTCATGGAGGCCAGGATCTGGCCCATGACATTTTGGGTGTGTACACAAAGTCAGCTGAAGGTCATTTTGTCCATGCAAGAAACAGAGCTGAATATAGAGTGAAATGAAGGGGAGCAATGTAGTGAGCACAAACCAGGGGGATGAAAGCACTTTTAAGTGCTGGTTTTTCTATAAGAATCAGGGAGCCCATGAGAGAAGAGAACAGACTGAGGATTTATTTGTAGTGGAGACTGCAGGAAAATGCCCTCTCTCTGAAGCAGGGGTGGCCAACCTGTGGCTCTGGAGCACATGCGGCTCTTCAGAAGTTAATATGCAGATCCTTGTATAGGCACCAACTCCGGGGCTGGAACTACAAGCACCAACTTTCCAATGTGCCGGGGAGGGGCTCTATTCATCAATAGTGAAATGCACAGAGTAGGTTACATGTGAGATACAAGCAATGCACTTAGACTTGTTAGTCTAATCCAGTTCTCTCCTTCGAGAATGGGAACCCAAAATAGGTTCTCTGTTTATTTTCTCAGTGTGGATACTGAGCTGGAATCTCAGCTGGTATAAACTGGCACAGAAGTTAATGGAGTTAGGATGATTTACCCAGCTGAGGATCTGGCCCATTATCTTCCACTAAAAAATCAGGACTTGATTTAAAAGTTTTTGGCAGGGGACCACTTTCTTCTTTGCCAGCACAATGGCATTGATGTAACTACATATAACTGACACTGGACAAAGAGTCCCACCCCTCTGCCCCCAGCTTAAAGATGGCCATGGCTGTAGGCCCTGCAGAAGTGATTAATGCACTCTTTGGGAGGTGGCCCTGCATATGGAGCCCTCTCTGTTCCCTGCTCAAGTTGAAACAGGGAAAAATGCAGCCAAGTACCCTATTCCTGGCAAGAGGATAGGTGCCTGCCTGAGAGGTGGAAGAGGAAAAAAGAACACAGATGTCCCAGTCTCTCTCATAGGAAATATGAGGTTCCACATAAGCAGCGTTTGTTTTTTAGAAAAATGGTGTTTATTAAGGTATCATTGTAGGACAAGGGCAGGGTGTGGAGTAGAGCAGAAATCACCCCGGCAGCATGGTGAGTGTTTCACCTGGAGGGGAGTGCCAAATTTTCACATCCAATCGCCAAATCAGGAGCTTGGGCCAGGTTTGCTGAAAGACTTGTCAAAGTCTGCAAACCTGAGCTATGCTCATTGTATTGTATGGTATGGTAGAACCTTAAAAAGCACCCAGCGAACTCTGAAAACTGGAGAGGAAAAAACATTTCACAAGAAGCACTATGAAAGAAAAGCCCCGCTTTTCACACAGTTTGTGGCACTTTGTTACCCTGGGTATACGCTAAACCCCAATTTTACTAAGTTCTTGGGGGACCCCCAAAACCTCTAGCGAGATAAAACTGGGGTGAAGTTCAATAACTTCCTAAGAGGCTGGGGGCACAAAGGCACTTGGGATCAAACTGAATTTCATAAAAGGGGAATATGTAACATCAGGGTTTACCTGTTTCTAAAGCCAATCTTTCACATTGGCAAAGCAGTAGGACATCAGACCTCTACAAGCAAGGCCCCATGTTGGGTGATTTGCTCTTGTTTGCAAGGATGTTTAATCTAGAGTTTGAACACGTAACTAAACTGGGAACACCCAAAATCCAAGGCAGATCATCCTCCTATGAAGTGTCTTAGTGCAGTACTCCAGTGCGTCCCAGTATACATTTACATATGTCAAAATAAACCTTAAATGACACTAGTGCCGATCTGCAGTAACTCCATAAAAGTCAATAGGGTTACTCCAGATTTACACCAGAGTAACTGAAAATAGAACCTGATACACTTCTGTAGTTGCATTTGTTTAAAGGCTGAGTTAGGTTGGTGGTGAATAAATAGGTACAGTAGTTAAACAAAGTGAAACTTGGCTGCGTAGAACACTCCAACACCTTGAGCCACACACACACACACACACTTACTTTCCAGCTGCGTACACCTCCGCTGTATCAAAAAGATTTACTCCACTCTCATAAGCGATTGTCATTAGCTGTTCAGCAACCTTAGGGAAGCCAGAGACATACGATTAGTCAAGTGGCTGCAGAAACAATCCCCAGCATGCCTGACATGCTACTCACCATCTGCCCCAAGGAGCAGGGCTGTGGACCTTTGGTCAAAACGTGATTATCTGAACCAGAGTTAATTAAAACCCTGTTATCCAAAGGTCAGATATATCCCCAAGTGTATTTATTTATTTTTAGCTATATAGTGCTCTAATCAGAGTCACTCAGTGCATGTACAAATGCAATAGAATTTACTGACTCACGTAGAAACCAGCATGAAACCCCAGAATTCCCCATACTACATTCAGACAAAAGGAGGCCAGAAGGCAGTTTGTGACAGATAGTAGGGGAAGCAAGTTCCAGAGCCAAAGGCCCACCATCCACAGGGCCCTGACTCCGTCCCACAGATATTCAAATCTAGGGGCTGAAGGAGCATCTCAGCTGATTTCAAAAGTGACAGAAGCATGAGTGGAGAGGCAGTCTCAGGTAGCTGGGACATTAACCAAACAGGGCTTTATGGAACAGTCTTAACACCTTGACTTGCATTCAGAACTAAGTGGGAAGTGTTCCTAATGGTGACTATGGTATGTTAGGGCCTCATCTGTGGCTTGGGATGGGGGAATGCAGCGCAGCACATACCAAAAATCAATGGAATTGAGGCTGATTTAAGGCTGTGTCCTTAAATCGTCCCATTGTGCCTGGGCACTGCTCTTAAGCCAACATAAGTTGTTACAGGCAAAAAGCAAAGGGCTAAATTCTGTTCTCAGTTTCACAGGTTTAAATCCAACATAATCTACTGAAGGCAGTGAAGCTTCCCTGGATTTTCACCAGTGTTACTGAAGGAGTGGCAGTCAGCATTCAGCCCGAATACGCAGCACGTGTGCTCGGATTCTCTGCAGGGAAGTGGGGGAAAGAATCCTCCCCTACAGGCTGCTAAGCTGCTGCAGAGTTCTGTTCCCTACTGCAGAGGGTCTCTTGCACAACTACCCGAGAAACACATGGGTTGCACGCTATCTAGAACCCCAGTACGTGTGGAGGAGGGGTAGGAATTACACCTGAGAGGAGAATTTCCCATGGGCATTTGTAGTAGTTATACATATATACTGAGCAGAGAATGACCCTCGGATATGCTGCAATACAGTATCTAGGTGAGGAAGTAGCACTGAATGTAATTGCCATTGTTGGTTTCTAACACAATGATGTTGCTTAAACATGGCGATTGTGTGAGTTTTCAACAACAGCTAGACTGCAGGAAATATAGCTAATAAAAACAACAATTCCACAAGCCCTGCTTAGTTCTTTCCTTTCCCTCAGTCATTAAGGCCAGCTGACAAGCCTAGCCATTCTAAAGGCTGTTATGAAGGTCACGTGACTCCTTGCTGCTTCTAGTAAAGAGGAATTGTATAGCCCTGTTCGTCCTATTAGCGTACAAAGCAATAACAGCAGCTATGGCCAAGGCTGTTTGTGTGGTGTACATGTTTGTACAACACATCTGAAGTAACAGTTTTCTTTCTGCAAAATACACCGTGCAGTTTTTGCAGCTGACATTGGACTTTGATATACATTTTGCAGTTCCCAAAGGAGACAGAATGTGGTGTGAGATGAACTACAGCTGCTTGTAACATCCCCTGGACCTACAATTGTTTAATAAGGGAGACTTAGGAGCATGTCTGACTTTTGCACATCTGCGCTATTCTTTTGCTCTTTGTGCAGGAGATTGGAAGACAAACTGGACTGATTTTAAGGTAATTGCTTGGTTTCGGCTGCTTTCCAGTTGAAGTGAATGGCAGCACTGCAGCAGTGAATTGATTGTGCACTGTTTTATTTTGGTAATTTTAACGGACTATTAAAATACAGCGCTGCATTTCCAAATCACTGCTGCGCTCCTCTGAAAGCACCAAGTGCTTCAATGGAGAGCAGCTGCAACGAAGCACAGAGCCCTGGCCAGCAAAAAGGAGGGATGGAGAGGAACCAGCAGTTCAGACTCTCCCGGTTTTCTAAAGGAAAACAATTGTTTTAAAGCAACCACAGCCAGCCCCAGTTAGTTATATGGTTAATTGGTTTTTGACCAAAATGGATTGTGAAATGTAAAGTGGGCTGGCTCAGTGGTCCAGCTAACAGAGCTGCCCAATATCAGGAGGAATCAAATTTCTTCAGCTCCTAGAGGCACCCCTTTCCTAGAAACTTAATTTCATGTCTCAGATGGAGTGTAATCCCCAGAAGTCAGTGTGGTTATGATAGGATCCCCAAGGAATACATGGATGGGATTTTTAAAAGTGACTAATGATTTTGGGTGCCTTGATTTTCAGTGCCCAGCTTATGACATCTTAAAAAGGCCTGATTTTCAGAAAGTGCTGAGCTCCTCTCATACTGTATGGAGTCTCAGGTTGGGCCCCCAAAAATCACTACTCACCTTCTGGAAATATTGACCATGTATTCCTGCCCACCTGTGCATCAGAATATGAGAGGAAGTAAGACATATCTACCATTTCAGTGTGTCCTGAACTGAGGATACAATATATAAAATATTTAAATGATACATACTGTATAGAATATCTACAATACTATAGAATATAAACTTGATTTGTTTTTTAATCGAGACTCAGAAAATGTGCTCCCAGAAGAACAAAATTCAGAGACTTAGGATGAATTCCTAAGCACTGAAAAATTAGAATCACAAATGGAGCAGGGTAGGAGTGTTGTGTCAGCAGGACATTTCAAGACTGGGTATTTTTTCTTAACTTATTCAAAATAGACTCAAACCTGCCACAATGGTACTTACAATCTGACACCAAACACACCACTAAAAATGTTTTTAAAATATGGCGTTTCAGATGAAAACTTGATGGGTAGCAAGCTGCAATCACAGTCCTAACCCTGCACAAATAACTTCACACACCTGAATAATCCTATTGAAATCAATGGCAACTTTTCCTGCCTGTAAAGATAAGCTCATGCACAAGTCAGCATGTTGGAGTCCAGGTTTAGGAGTGCCCTTTGGACTCTGCTCCCTAGATTGAAGGAAATCATGAATCACACACTTTGCAGAGAGGAAATACTGGTCCTCTTGGGGTCATAGCTATTGCTTGATGGGAAATGATGGTGGAAGTTTTATGCAGCACTGCACTGCACTCTTCCACACACACCATATAGGCCCAAGGTCTGGCTAGGCTTGCATATAAATGCACACCTGAAAATCTGGGGGCAGGTGGAGAACTGATATTGACCTCAAAGGCCTACAGAGTTAAAGGTGTTTGTAAACTCTTTCACTCTAACATTTAACAGCAATAGGGTCATGGTTATTTTCTACAAAGGCCTTGGTTTTACTCGGTTACTTGGCAAACTCCCAAAAGCATTCATTCAAGATGAAAGTTTATTGATTAAACACACAAAAAAGGAGCACAGAATTAAAACAAGAATTTATATTAAAACTGTGGTTTAGTGATCATGCAAAACAAATTTAGTTAGACCGTGACAAAGTCTCTCTCCTTTTGGAGTTAAAATATCAGTCTCTCTTTTTTTTTTTTTAACAACCTTTGATGAAAAAGAAAGTTAATTTTACTCTCAGTCCTGATGTGCGACGGGCATTCATTTTTCCTGTTTTCAACATAGACACACGGTGGACGAGAGACAGGATAGAAAAGGTGGGAGAAATATGGCTGTCAATGATGTTTTTTTGAATACTGGACCACTGGAGTGGATGCTTTGGCTGGCAAGTTGAGCATGACACCTACTGCTTGGACTCTGGTTCATGTTCTGGTCAAGGATGTCATCTCTTTGGATCCTTTCTCCTTAGACAAGACAGGCTTGGATGAATGCAGCATAGCTGATGTCGGGATTCGATGAAAAGCCAAGAGAGTGAGAGATAGAATAGGAAGAGAGGGAGAGGGGGGCAGTGGCAAAAGCAACTCAAAAAGGGAAGGGAAAACAATACAGGATCTTATGTGCCTCTGCGGTGCAGGCAATTAGATATCCCCACTGCCAGGCTGAGTACTGGATGTCATGATAATGTGATATGCACTGTTGTTGTCTTAGCAATGTTGGTCCCAGGATAATATGCTGACTTTCAGCACTCATAGTTGAAAACCAAAGTTCCTTAAACAAGACCAACAGCCAGCCTGCTTTCCTCTCAGGAAGAAAGTCCCTTGGCCTGATCTGCTCCTCATGACTTCAGGTTGAAGGAGCTGAAATGAGTCAAGATGAGTTGCAGTTCTGGCAGGTTGGGGGATGCACTGGGGGGACGAAGATTCTTCTTTTTTTCCCAATATCTCTTTTTAAGACCCCCCAAAAGGAGTTAAGTTAAATTCATTTCCATAAAGCCAAACTTGGCATAGGTGACTTCATTCTCACATTTTCTTGTTTACAAAGTATGATCTCACCATAGCCCTTTACTATGGTCAAAAGGCCATTTTTCTTTGGGCTAATTCAATTTTTCTGCCTGGTTTTCTGGCACCTGTTCATAGCATTGATTTATTGAAAAAACTTCACTTATTTTGCATGATTAATTCTCAGGCAGGCAAAAAGTCATAGGCTATTGTGACATCTTATGAACTTTCCTATACTTTTCACAGTTGAATTTAGGGTAAATCTGTTGGCCCAATAATCACAACAGAACCCCAGTCTACTTTAGTTCTGGCTATCCCACAAACCTTCTGAGATGATGTTTTGTAGGGAGGAACATTACGGAGTCTTGCTTAGGAAATAAGGACATGGCCCATTTGTGATAGACATAATGACCTGACCTAGTCTCATGCAGCTTCTACAAGCCACAGTAAAACAAGCCCGAGTAATATGCACACGATATCTGTGCATTAGTGCAAGAAGAGCCAGAATATAGATTTATATCAACATCCCTTTCACCTGTGTTAAGGGAAATTTCTTTCCTGCAGGAAAAGAAACTTTTACAGTTAATAGAGATGAAACCAATAGAAATGTAATAGGGTCCTATAGATATTCATCTGTAACTCTATGGAATGTAATATAGAAAGGATATAGTTCTTAATTTTTTTAACCTTCCTATAAAATTCTATAGCAGGGATATAATTCTCCAATAAATTTTATAGGATACTAAAACCCCATCATTTTCCATTCAACTCTATCTGATTCCTAACATTTACTGAAGAGAGGTTTTCCATTTGTGTTGATTTTTAGTGAATTTATCACTTATGAAATATGCTGGGTTGACAGCCTTGGAGACTGAAGTCTTCTATGGATCCACCAGACAGATCACAGTAATGTGAGCTTCCCCATATGGTCCTGCCAATATGACAACTCCCACTCAGAAGGAGTGCCTCTAGGGATGACAGAGGAATTCAGTCCATGGCTCATTCAGTCCTTGGTAGAATGCAAATTAGTTTCGAATGCAGTGGTGACTGACAGACACTTGCCATCTAAAAAAAGTACCAAGACCACCAACCCACTTCACAATGGCCACTGAGAAGCTATCAGATAACAACTTTGGGTTGTTCCAACCTGGGATAGACCTGAACCAAAGTTCCATCAGTATTTTGAAATAGTTTTTTTCTATATTAAATGTATTAAAATGACCACATTTAGACAAGTGAGAGTACAAGACTTATTAGGCCAGATATATCCTGGAGTAAGCCTACTGAAGTCAATGCACTTCAACCAGGGATGAGTTCAGCCCCTTGTCCCCTGACTTAATGTCGAAGATTAGACTGACTGAATCACAGAATTCCAAGGCAGGAGTTCTATAAAACTGAAAGCACCAATTATTCAAACTGTTTTACTTAGATTTGCTTTTTAACTAGAGATGGACCTGAGCTGCAGAGTTCAGATCTGAACTTTCCCAAAGTTTTGGAGAGGAGGGGCAGAGGTTCAGATCTTGGATTTTGTTTTGGGCCCAACTCTAATTTTAGCTGATAGGCTGCGTATGAAAAGACAAACACCAGAAGTCATGAGGAGTTTTTAAATGATCAATATCAGTGATAACTAAAGGCCTGATCCTACAAATAGCTGATCAGGTTGAAATGCTGGCCCACTGAAGTCAATGGGATTTTTGCCATTGATTTTAATGGGGCCAGGTTTTTACCCTCTGTGTTTAAAACGCTGCAATATAAAGAAGAATCCCCTTTGTTATGCTATTGTATATTTTCATCAGTCCCTTACACACCATTTGTAAGATAAAATGGTTTCTCTCTCTTCTAGAAAATCCTCTACATCTTAACACACAATACTTCTCTCCTTCCACCAAGGTTATTGACACTTTCTCTCTCCTGGTGCTTCGAGTGAGGCTGCTGCAAGTTTTTGTTATGGATAACTAATGTCCATGAAGTTCCCAAAGCTTAGTAAAATATGTGAGTTACACAGCACCTTCAAAGGGTTATTAGCAGAGATTAAGAACCATCCGTTACGGCCAAGAGTCAGTGTTGTCAGTGCAAAGCCCAAAGATATTTTCAGTTGTTTCATCTATACTTTTTATGTCAAAAATCATCTGGCACCTCATTATACGCTGACACTGTGCCTATATTTATGACTGTACTGGATTACTTACATTATGCCAAAAAAAAAAAAAATGTCATACGTCTACTGTGGGAACAATCAGATTCTCATTACAACTGTCAGTGGTAAATGCTGATCCTTCTTTTCATAGCTGTTTGGAATATTTTTTTAATGGAAAGGTTTTTTTTATTAAATTTAACCTTTGGAAATGTCATAATCACTAAGACTTTGTGAAACGTAGCAGAAGTGCAAACTTTCTGTTCCTGTGTATGATAATTCTCTGTCATTTCCTGTTACAGAAATAGACTCTGCTTATTCTGCTATGACTTGACTTGTACAAAACATTTATTCAATTTTATGAGTTTTACTTCAACCAAACATTACTTACGTCATCTGAAATTTGACCTCCAAATGTGACCCATGTCCCTAGAAAGAATAAAATCATTTGTTACTGTTAAGGATTTTGTTTAAATTTACAGTACACAATATAATTATGATACTTTTCCTCAGGTAATCTCTTGATTATTATTTTTTTTAAATGGCCAATCTCTGTAATGAGATGTGCTTGTTTAAATTTAATTGGCCAATGAATCACAGAAAGTCTGTGCTTTCATTTCTTAAAGGGGTGTGTCACAGAAAGGTAGGGTGTTCTTCCATCTGGTGTGAAGGAGGATGAAATGTCTTAAGAGCACACTGCTGATAGCTAAATCAGTTTGAAAATGACTTGAAACTAAAGTGAGCCCCATACTAAGCTCTGCTGAAAACTTTTGTCAAGGATTGATAGATTTCATCTCCCTATCTCCTAGCAATCGCCATAGCTCCTTCTCCATAAACGTCCAACAGGCCTTGCTTCTTCTTAAACCAACCCTCAAGTTCAAGTTTCTGAATTCTGGCTTTCAAGACTGCACAACCCTACTCTGGCTTCCAGTTCCGTTCTCCTTTCTTCCTGTTTCCACACTCACAGGGGTAGATTCTCAGCTGGTGTCAAGTGTTGTGGCTCCACTGCCTGTCAATGGAGCTGTGACAATTTACACTAGCTGAGGATCTGCCCCAGCACTCGGCTTGCTCCATTCAAGCTTCCTGCCTGATCAGCTGCTTTGTATCTGTCTCCCAGTCTCATTTTTGTGCTTGGGACAATTTAGGGGCAACGAGGGGACAATACACATTGCCCCGTCCGCAGGTACCGCGCCCCCAGCTAACATTGGCCGGGAACTGTGGCTAATGGGAGCTGCAGGGGCGGCGCCTTTGGAGGGGGCAGTGCGCAGAGCCGCCTGGCGTTGCCTCTGTTTAGGAGCCAGAGAGGGGGACATGATGCTGCTTCCGGGAGCTGCTTGAGGTAAGTGCCGCCCGGAGCCTGCATCCATGACTTCCTCCCATGCCCCATCCCCCTACCCCAGCCCTGAACCCCTTCTTGCCCTCCAAACCGCTCAGCCCTAGCCTGGAGTACCCTCCTACACCCCAAGCCCCTCATCCCTGCCCCACCCCAGAGCCTGCACCCCGCAGCCACAGCCCTCACCCCACCCCCTGCACCCTGCCCCAGCCCGGAGCCCCCATCCATACCTTGAACTCCTCATTTATGGCCCCACTCCAGAGCCCCAACCCCCTGCCCCTGCCCCAGCCCTGATCCCCCTCCTGCCCTCTGAACCCCTCAGTCCCAGCCTGGAGCACCCTCCTACATCGCAAGCCCCTAATCCCCGCCCCACCTCAGAGCCCGCACCTCCAACCCCCTACCCCAGCCCAGAGCCTCACCCCCCCACCCCCGCACCCTGAACTCCTCTTTTCTGACCCTACCCCAGAGCCTGCACCCCCAGCCAGAGCCCTCAACCCCAATTTCGTGAACATTCATGGCCAGCCATACAATTTCCAAACCCAGATGTGGCTCTTGGGACAAAAAAGTTTGCCCACCCCGATCTATAAGATAATATATCATAAAAGGTCTAAATAAAAACCAACATTTTGATTTTGTCAAAACAAAATATTTTGACCGTTCCTTCCCTCCTCCAAAAAATTCTTTGAGTCATTTTTTTCTTAACAAGCACTGTCTCTCTAACGAGTATGTGTTTCAGTGGGAACTGTGAATGTTATGATTTAATTGGCTATTTATTAAACCACAGTGTTTGTGTTATCATCATTTAGAAGGTTGCTTCACGAAGTATGGATTTTTACTGTCAAAATTAGACAATATAAGTAAAATTACCGTGCCTCTAAAAAGTATCAAAGTCACACACTGCATACTACAATTAAGTATATGCAAATAAGTACAAATAAGTATATGCTTTAACAGCCCTTGCTTCTGTCCTAAATATCTGAGCCTACACAACATGACCTGGAAAGCAAAGTGTTGAAGTGTGAAAAAAGGGAATCATTTCATACTACCATTTGCTCTTTGTTACCTAGTTACCATGTCAGTTTGATGTACAGCACAGTTCTTATTTTTGCAGCTATTCAGGAATTACACATTCACCACATAAAAAATTATTTGTTATTGTTTTAATACAAGAATGAGGACCATCCAGATACAATAATCTTTTACTATGAACTTCATGGTTACACTTGTACATGTAGTATGCATTAAATGTGATGACACAATTACTTTTGATGGGCACCTATACATTTAGCAAGGAATTTGCCACAGGGAAGAGTTAGTTATACTATAGTTAGAAGTTAAAATTTTATAGAGAGAGCCTACTTATATAAAACACAACATATATTATACATTTCCAATTTGAAACTCAACCATATAGAACCTGGCCATGCAAACCTTCCCATTGACAGCAATCAGATTACTCATGTGAATAAGCATTACAGGATCAGGCCTTAATGCTAGAAAATTATATAGGGTTAATTTCATTCAGACAATGTATGGAAAGCTGACCTAAATGCCTTGGGGGGAATGCTAGCACTTCTGAAAAAGAGATTTGGTAAACATAGCCAGGATATTTGCCTTTCTATCTTGCGATTTTATCCAGTGAAGAATCTGCATCAAGTGCAAAATATTCAACACAAAAATCACATTTGAAACGTATAGAAGTGTTTACAGCTTAGTAGTGGCCTGACAAACTCCGTAACAAACGGGGGGCCCTCAGGAGGCTGTCGGCGGGATGGAAGGACAAGAGTTACACTAATAAGATCAGCAAAAACAATGAATACTTGTGTACTGTGTTAATATATATCTTCCTACTGGATATTCCACTCCATGCATCTGATGAAGTGCGTTTTAGCCCACGAAAGTTTATGCCCAAATAAATTTGTTAGTCTCTAAAGTGCCATATATCCTCCTTGTTGTTTTTGCTGATACACACTAACACGGCTACCCCTCTGAAACTAATAAGCTTACACGTTTGATGTAGGTAATTGCATATCTTTTGGTTCACCATAAAGCTGTTTTCAAAAAAAAAGATTTGGCCTCTGTGGCAGGAACCGTCCTCGTGCTCGATGTGTGTATAGCACCTCATACAATAAGGCCTGTAGACACCACCACAATCTAAATACATACATGAAAAGTATTGTTTATTTTTGTGGGCATCGTGGAAGAAATGATTCTTAAGGAGGGACTAGAAACATTTTAACACTCTTAAATACTTTTAACATACCAACCCTTTGAGCGACTTCAAGCAGCTACTCTTTTTAAGAAAATCAGCCAGTGGGAGAAATGTTGCAATCTTTTCCTCAAGAAGTTGGCCCGAATCTCTCTGTGCACTAGTTTACTCATCTTTAAATGGGAGTAGTGCTACTTTTGAAAACCTCCTTGTCTATTTACAGCATAATATTTAAGCTGAAATTATCTGTAAACTGGGATAGGTGCCTGCTTATTGTTTCTCTGTAGAATGTCGATATTCTATATTTATAATTCCGAAAGAGCTATGCCATTTTGAGCAAGCTTGGTTCCTCCCATCCGCAAACATTTTAGCTGATTTCTGAGGACTGTTAGGGATTAACAGGGGGAAGGGTAGAACTGACATTTAACTCTACTTCCATGCTAGTTGTTGGAAGTAAACCATTAGCAGGAATGGATGTACAGTTATGATCTACCCATTTTCAGTAAGAGGATAATAGTCCCTGATGCATATGCATTCATTTTGTTAACGTGTGCACCCAGAAACTATCAGAATAATTCTGGAACCATGCAGTGAAGCTTTTTGCTTGCACCACCCAGGCACATTTATCCGATTTGGTGCTACCACTCCACTGCTTTGCCAGCTGCTATTCCATCTGCTCTGAACAATGTTTTTTATTTACCTTAGCAAGCCTAAGCTATTTCCCAAGATAAAAAATTATAGTACTGACCTCAGTTGCTGCACTATAAACCCAAAGTAACATTATTTTTCCTTCACTGGAGAGCCTCTGGATTTATACCAGTGCAGCTGAAATCAGAACATGATGTGTATGTTCAGTTGCTGATCTGTCAGTAAAGATTGTAAGAGGAAGTTTATCTTTGGTAACAGAGTCATTACCCATCTCTTGATTACCCCTCTTCTTTAGCCCTTCCCCTTTACTTTTGTTTCCCCCTCTGGTCTGTTGTCTAGCCTTCTCACCCTTCTTCACATCCCCTATGGATCTGCTCCTCACTTTGTCATTTCTCTCTGGTTCTTCTCTTGCACGGCTCTACCCTGTTGTGCTGCTGTGCAATCAATGAGCTTCAAAGGAAAACTCAAGCCTTTCGTAAGTTTTGCTTTGCAGCCAGTGATGCACATGCCGCACAAAGGAAGTGGGTGTAGCAGCCCAGCTTAGCAAGTCTTTAAGGCTGCGTCTAAACTGCAAAGTTTGGTCAATGTAAGTTACGTTGGCATACAGACGCCCACTTTTGTACATCACATGGGCACGCACACACTTGACTGCTTGCATTGGTGCTGCACATCCTCACCAGGAGTGGTTGTGTTGATGGAAAATGCAGTACACCACGGGTAGGTATTCCAGAGTGCCCAGCACTACCGTCTGGCACAATGCAGTGCTTTGCATTTTGCACTGCTCTGTGTGATACCAGCAATTCGTCCTGGGATTTCTGAGAACTAGTTTCCACATTGCCATTTTCTCCATCCCATTAGGCTTATTCCATCCCATAATTTATCATGCCATTTTTAATACTGGCACAGTACGGTGTGCCATTTTCCTGTCTTCGCCATTTCTCTGACCAAAACATGGACGCTTCAGAGCTCAGTGCAATTCGAATGACCATTGATAACACAGGATGCACGATTCTTCCATATTCATGGCACGTCAGTGAGTACTATGACAGCAAATGGTGTGGTGAAAAGGAGGAAGAGAATTTGACAGTGATGACTGGATGCTGATGGAGATAGTGAATAAAAATGTCATGTTGCTGCTGGCATTCACAGAGCAACTCCACAGGGTAGATTGATGCTTCTGGCCCCAAGAAATGAGCATTGACTGGTGGGATTGCATCATAATGCAGGTTTGGGATGACAAGCCGTGGCTGCAGAACTTTTAGATGTCAAAGGCCATGGTCCTGGATCTGTGTGCTGAGCCTGCCCCAGCCCTCCAGTACGGGGACACTAGATGAGATCTGCATTCCCAGTCATGAAGTCAGTGGCGATTGCACTCTGGAAGCTTGCAATATGGATTGCTATTGGTCAGTCAATGGACAATCAGTTCAGAGTCAGCAAATTTACAGTGGTGGCCACAGTCATCCAAGTGTGCAGGGGCCATTAAGCATATCCTGCTGCACAGGACTCTGACCCTCAGCAATGTGCATCAAATAGAAGGATTTGAAGCAACAGGCTTCCTGAACTCTGGTGGGGTAATAGACAGGACGCACATCCCTATTCTGCCTCTATCCCATCTTGCCAGTGAGTACATAAAGGGAAAGGGATAATTTTACAGGGTTATGCAAGTGCTAGTGGATCAGCAGGGATGATTCACTGACATCAGTGTGGGCTAGTCAGGGAAGATGCATGATTCTTGAGTCTTTAAAGAACACAGGACTTTTCTAAAAGATGCAAGCAGGGACATTCTTCCCTGACCAATGCAATCCCATTGGTGATGTTGAAATGCCAAGAGTGATTCTGGAGGACCCACCATACCCTTTGTTCCCCTCGTTCATGAAACTGTACACTGGCTGCCTTCCCAGCACCAAGGAAAGATTCAACAACAGGTGACTGATGAGTGTGCTTTTGGTAGATTAAAAGCTTGCTGGTGATGTTTAATGACTAGGTTTGATCTCAGTGAGGCAAACATTCCTAATGTTATAGCTGCATGTTGTGTACTATGTAATATCTGTGAGGCGAAGGGGGAAAGGCACCAGGCAGGGTGGAGGGGTGAGGTAGACTGGCTGTCTGCTGAATTTGAACAGCCAGACACAGCCAACTGAGGAGCTATACAGCTGAGGGAGGCCTTAAAAGACCATTTTAACTATTAGCCACAGTAGTGTTGTGTAATACTTTGGTAAATTGGTGTGCCTGTGTGTGTAGTGTTTAAATAGGGGAGGGCTATTGACGCCTCTTATGAATTTTGTAATGTGGCATTTATAAGTGGTCTAAACACATATTGTGGAAAGACAAAATAACAAATGCCAGAGTACGGGAGCTGACAGAGCAGGGGACATGTTAAAAAATATCATCAAAGAAAGAAGGGGCTCAGGTGTTTGGGATATGTACAACATATGGAAGACGGGAGATATGCTAAGTAAGCATGGAATTGGGTACCCAGTGAAGTAGGGTGACCATATGTCCCGTTTTGGCCGCAACAGACCCTTTTCAAAGTCCTGTCCCGGCTATCCTGACTTTTTTCTCTCAGAAGGAGGCATTTGTCCTGTTTGCTTTTGTTGACTTGATCAGCTGGCAAGAGCAAACAGGACAAATGCCCACTTTTGTCAAAAAAGTGGGGTGCAATGTGGAAGAACGTGTGGGGGGGGCGAGCAGAGATGCCAGCCGCTCCTCCCCCAGTGGGGAGGCCAAGCTGCAGTGGGGTGAGGTCCCTTCCAACCCTGATATTCTATGAGGATGCAGCGTTCCAGCGGGTGGGGGAGGAGGGGGCACGGCAGTGTTCCCGTGACAAGCCGACAGCCTCCTGAGGGCCCCCCAAAAGGGTTCTAGCCATGGGCAACAGTCCTGCGGTGGGGGGTGGAGCAGCTTGGGTGAGTGGCTGGGGGCATTCTGCTTTCTCTTTGGGAAATGTGGTCACCCTACAATGAGGGAAAGAGCAAATGAGGAAGGCCAAGGAAAAGCTGGCAGAAGACAACAAGTGCACGGGTATCACCTAGAAATAAGTATCACAATTAGTGAGTGACGTAGTCAATGGAGGAACTGGCCTGCCCAATGTGTCAATGGAACAGGAGGAACTAAGGTAAGGTAAATTAATAAAGGTACTCTGTGTTTCAAAAAACAGAACTTTATTGTGTGCAAAAAAATACAGGAAACTAAGATAAAGTACAAATATACAAGATAAAAACATGTTGGCAGCAGTATAAGGGGATAACCCAAACTCATAAAAACCAACTAAACATACAGTTTTACATATTAAAAACATATTACAGTGTTTTATTCATGTGGCAAAACAGGTAGTGCACTGTGCTTGGTGGCTCATCCTCTATTTATCAGAGGTCAATGTACATGTAGTTATGGTTCTCTGTGTTTTCCTCTAGCATGAAATGGCAGGAGAAAGGGTTCATGCCATGCTGACCCTTGTCATGTTGGGGTATATAGGGAGCAGTGTCCATACAGTTTCCCATGGATTTGGAAGGCTGTTGTGTCCAGGGTCTTTGGGCATGTAGCTCCATCATATCCTATGACATCTGAGTTTGTTGCCTGAGCAAAGCCATAATGTCTTGGTTCACTTCCCACCACACATCTCTGTCCCTTTGCCTCTCCTGCAGCAACTGCTCCCTCCGTTCGTGGTCCTTCATGCTGATCTTGGACATTCAGCCCCTCCAATCCCCGTATTCATGGTCAGCAGTTGAGGGGGACTCAAGAGTCTCACAGGAAATATCCTCCCTAGTCTGCTTCTTTCTTCAAGTGATCGGCGTCAGATATCCAGCTTGCAGATGCTCCCTCAGCCTCTCTGTGCTCTGCTTGCAGCACAGGCTGCAAAGTGAAACTTACCAGAGACGCTAATAGATTACACTTTGAAGGCCATTGGTCATACTGCACAATGAAATGGAAGTGTGCACTGAATCAAATGTCGATGGGGCTGTATGTTTGAATCCCAGTTGTATTTCAATGCTCTCTAGCTTGCATAATTCTTTTAAACGCTTGTTTTAAAAAATTCCAATCATGCACCCAGTTCAGAAATGCACCCTGAGGTGAATGCATTATGGGTTCAAAACTGTCAGCGTGCCAGCAACAATCACATTTTCTTCTCTTCATGTCATTCAATGTGGTGTTTTGTTGACCCAGAGGATGGACAGAATGTGAGAGATCATAACCCTGTGTATGCTCAGCCAGGAACTGAAGAAGCAATGTTTACTGTAGAATTTTCCCCCATTGCTACCCTAAAATTTCCCACCGTTGCTATCAGCACTAGTGCTTGCTTAGATTGTAAGTTATTCAGGGCAGGGACAGTTTCTTTATATTTGTACAATGCCTAGCACTGTGGTACCTGGTGACACCACAATATAAATAAAAGTGCAGACCAGCAGCCACCTGCATTTTAACTACTGTGTCATCTAGATATTCTCTGAAAAAGGTTAAATGACATGATGGTTAAAATGCCAGCAACTGTCTGTAGCCTTCTCCACCCTTTTGTACTCTCTATTACTACTGCTGGCAGAAATGCAATGGTGCAACATTTTACAGAAAAAGTCCAAAGTAAAAAGTAAAGGAACCATGTTTCAGCTCTGTTGCAATTGGAACATTTTCTAACATGGTTTGGCTGGCACCAAATGGTGTTAGAACTGTCAACAAAAACTTAGGTTCTAGCCTGGACAGTGAAAGGGGCTAGAACATGGTATTAAAAGTGATTTAACACCATTTAGCCTTATCCACAGTGGCACACAAAACCCTGGATCTGATCCTGTGAACACTACAAGGGATAGTGCTTACTACTGATTATAGTCCACTGATTTCGGCAGAACAGCACACGGTCAGAAGTGTTTTCAGGACTAAGCCCCATGTTAGAAAGTGATTTAGCTAGAACTGTGTTTAAATTACATTAAAATTACGTTTCTTAAAGCTTATGCTCAAATAAATTTGTTAGTCTCTAAGGTGCCACAAGTACTCCATTTCTTAAATTGGTCTTCAGCTCACTGTAGACAGTGTTCAAAACTGAAGTTACAGCCGGTCTCTGTGAAGATCTTCTTTTGACCCCTCCTGCATTCTTTACAGTATAGTCATGCATTTTTACAAATCTATCATTAATATATAGTGCTGTATAACACACCCACTTTTTATTTATTTTTAGCAATACACTAGCTATTAATTCCCAAATAAAGGACTACATACAAGTGAAATTAGCATGGCTCTACATCAGTGCTTAAAACAAACTCCCACTTTACAGAAATCTGTCACTGAATTTAATATACACTTGCCTAATTATTAAATTACCGAACTGGTCTGCTTCCAAGAGTTTCTCTTGAGATTAAAGTGTTTAATGGACACTGGCAAGGCTGAGACCAAACCTGCCAACACTGGACAGCAAGAAAACCCATAGGCACATAGTGGGAATGAGTGAATTGGAGCTCTTGAGGCAAGTTATCTCATTTGTTACTATGCTACTGATCTGCCATGGTTTAGCAGGAAGGTCAGTCCTGCCTATGTGCACTGGAGTTGGTACCTGCAGCATTCAGTACATCGCTGTGATTCTGTGAATGAGTATTACGAAATTAATACAATTTGTTATAATTTTTTTAGTGTCAGGACACTAAGCTTGCCTGTACCTTCACTGAGACTTAGGGCAGAAGTTCTCAAACTGTTTTTGTGGAGTCTCTTTTGGAGGTTCATGTCCCATGCATGGCCCCCTCCCAGGGGCAGAGCACATGGAGCTTGGGGTAGGAGAGTGTGCCTAGTACCACAGGGGTAGTGCCCGGTACTCATGCGGGGTGGAAGTGGTGTCCAGTACCCACAGGTGGCAGGACAGGGTGCCCTGTACTCACAAGGGAGCAGGGACATTGCCTGGTACCCATGGGGGCAGTACGATGTGCCCCATTCTCACCGGGGCCTGGGAAGGAGGAGGTGCCCAGTACCATGGGGAGCAGGAGGGGTGCCTGGTATGTATGGGGCTGGAAGAGGTGCCTTGTACCCAGAAGGGGCAGGGACAGGAAGGGATGCCCAGTACCCACAGGGGGTGGTGGCAGGAGGGCACCCACAGGGGTCTGGGACAGGAGAGATGCATACAGGTGGCAGAGACAGGAGGGGGTGCCAGGTACCCATGGGGGGCACCCAGTACCCACTGAGGGCAGAAGGGAGGGCTGCCCCTGGTACCCATTGGGTATGTGAGCGATACTCATCATGTAGCACTCAAGGAAGCCTTCCACTCCCTGCAGCAGTCGGGCTGCCAGGACCCTGCCCACCTCACTCACCCTGTGCAAGGGAACTTGGCCATGCTGAAGGGCTGGGGAGGGGAGCGGAAGGCTGCACCCCTAGAGACAGGCCCCCACGCCAGACACAGCCCCCTCCTGACCCTTGTCCTTTAGTGTGGCCCCATCCACTTCCCCCACACAGGCACTGTCTAGCAAGGGAATTGGCTGGGGCTCTGTGCCCTGGGGCCACAGTCAGGAGGGGGCTCTGTCCAGCAGGTCACTACTCTGGGTGAAGCCTTCAGCCAGCTGTTCGCAGAGCCCTTGCCGGCCTCCCCAACAGACTAGGGTATCTGCCGCTTGGCAGCTGTGGCAGTAGGGGAGTGAGACAGGCAGGGAATGTGTGCCCAGAAGCTGAGACTGCCTGCACAGAGCCCATCCACTTCCCCTGCCAGCCACAGCCCCCTCCTGACCCCGGCCCTTCAGCACTGCCCATCAGATCCTCTTGCTCCCCCAATAACCTTGTTGTGTCCCCCAGGAGGAAGTGCCACAGAGTCTGTGAACCTTAATATTTGATAGGAGTCTTAACTGTAAAGACTGTGCTGGGTAAACACAATGTGGCCAAAAGGATTTCAAAAGAAAAGTAACACCCAAGATCCTCATCAAATCACAAAATCTAGAAGTAAAGTGGGTCTCCCCCAGCCCTCACCCTTTTGCAAGAAAAACCTCTGTTTGCGTTTTTAAAATCTTATAGAAAACGTGGAGCTGGGAAGGATCTGTAGAAAACCCGTGTTTATTTCTTAAATGTTGAGATGGCAAACCATTTGGAATGGCATATTTGCAAGTATTTAAACTAAATGCAAACCATCTAATATAATTTGCCATGTAAATGGTAAAATGCTTTATGTACCAACATGGATGGAGTCTAATGATCTTAGTGAACTAATTACCAATATAAGAAGTCTTTGAAGTGTAGAATATTTATATTAATTGGGAATTAGTTAATCAGTTACTGACAGTGCTCAAACAACTCCTTCATGCAGTTCAGGAAGACAAGAATCATCTCTCCAAAGAACTGTAGCAAAAATCAACAACTTCTTTATTAACTATTTAAGCTAAAGACGCTCCAAGAATTATTCAAATTTAAAACATTGTGTTGAGATCTCAAAAAACCTTTATAAAAAGAACAAGAGTGTTTGGATTTTTTGAAAGCCAAACTTCATTTCTTGTTAAACTCCAATGAAACTAAAGAAATCTCTGAAATGGACTGGACTGAATAGAAAGAAAGATTCAGAACTCTAAATTTAAAGATGTTCTGAAACTCTCCGTCCTGAAGACAAAGGAAATAGAACTGACAAGAAAGAATGTACATATGTATTAACTAACTACATAATTCATAAGATGAAGAGGTTCCTAAAAACATGGCATGGAGCCAATAAAAGGATGGCAGCAACCAACTTTGATTCTAACCAAGCCGAAAATAGGGGATTTCTCCTAAAATTTCATGAAATTAGGAAGGAGAAGCGTATAAAACTCTGACGTGAGCATCCCTCATTATATATAGATATAGATATAGATAGATAGATACACACACACACACACCCTCTGCTACCCTGCTCACACAGCAAGCACTCCGCAACTCATCCTGTATCTCTCTACAAAAAAGCTACCAAAGACAGCTAAGACAACTCAAAAAGAAGCCAAACCAAGGAAAACTTCCCCAAGACTTTAACATGAATTAGTGAGATCAAGTTAACTAAGTTACTTAATTAGGGATTAGATTTTAAAGCTCTTGTAATGATTTTATTGGTATAAAGAAATGCTGTTGGAATTTAAAATACCAGCAGTTTCTCCTGTTAATCACCAAATGGTGAGACCCATTTATTTCTGGAGAGGAGACAGGGGCTGAATATTGGTAAATAGAGAAATAATGGGATTTAACAGGATTTAAGATTCTTAGTATTTGTTAATTGGCAGTTCTTATGACAGCTCCCTAAATGGCATCTTCTGAATAACTCATTTAAATATTGTCTTTGTTTTCATAGGATTTAGTTAAGATTGTTTACTTTGCCCAATTACAAACTGTCTGGTTATTAATAATAACCAACAAGGTTCACCTGCCCTTAAACAAATTATTTTGCCCAACTATAAACAGTTTAATTATCTAATTAGATACTAAAACTGGATTCACAATAATTTGGGGAAACAGTATACTTTGGTTTGAATTTAACACACGAAGAACGCCTCCCCAGATGTAGTTCATTCAAGTGGTAATCTCTGTTAAAAACACTCCATGGAGAAACATGCAGGAGAGATTTAATGAAAAGAAGCATTGCATATCATTTGTGTTCTTTTGTTTAATGTTGTCTTTTCCCTTTTTTAATAGCAAAATAGCCATAGTTAATAATTGTGATTATTTTGCTTGGTTTTAAACATACAGTCCCTACGATAGCCTCTCTGACTAAAAGAGTGGGAGTCACATCCCTGAATTGGCAATAAGAGAAACAGTAAGAGCTGTCCTCCCATTTCCTGTTTCTCTAAACTAAATATTTCAGTAATTTTTAAAATAAAATTACTTGGCATGATTTAAAATTACCCCTTCCTACCCCATAAGTCTGAAAACCCTTACACATGGCAGGTCTATGAGCTTAAAATGTCATCTGCTATATTGTGTATACATTATATATATATTTATATTTGTTTTTATATTTTTTCTTGTATCTCTTTGAAACTTCAACATAAAAATAAATTTAGAGGCTCTTTTACCCCAAGAACAAACAATGTGGTTTTTGATAAGAAAATGACACTGGAAGAATGACCTTGAGTAGAGAAGGCTGAAATTTTTCTGTTCTGAATTTGTTTTTGAAGTTTTCCAGTTCTGTGAAAAACCAAAATTGGGTGGGTTTTTTTCATTTCTTTCAAAAATTTTCACTGAATACACTGACCATTGCCAGCCACCTCTAATTCTGGGTTTAGCGTAGCTGAATTGGGGCTCAGAAGATCTGGATTCAGTTCCCAGCTTTGCCTCAGATTTCCTGTGTGACCATGGGCAAGTCACTTACTTCTCTGTGCCTCAGTTCTTAAAACAGGGATATTAATACTTACTTTCTCCTTTGCCTGCTTGTCCAGTTATACTACACTTCAGAAAACGGGACGGTCTCTTATGTGTTTGTACAGTGCTTATCACAGTAGGGATTTGATCCCAAACAACAATAAAGTTAAAAAAGAAAATAAGATTTATTAATTTGTGGGCAACCCAATGCATCTGTTATGAAGGGGAAAAATCCAAATGGAAACAGACTTCAATTTCAAAGCTTCAGATAGGTTATTATTATAACTGAAAAGGAGTACTTTGCAAATTGAATTCCAATTCAGCAGTTTCTCGCTGGAGTCTGGATTTGAAGTTTTTTTGTTGTAGGATAGCGACCTTCATGTCTGTGATTGCGTGACCAGAGAGATTGAAGTGTTCTCCGACTGGTTTATGAATGTTATAATTCTTGACATCTGATTTGTGTCCATTTATTCTTTTACATAGAGACTGTCCAGTTTGACCAATGTAAATGGCAGAGGGGCATTGCTGGCACATGATGGCATATATCACATTGGTGGATGTGCAGGTGAACGAGCCTCTGATAGTGTAGCTGATGTTATTAGGCCCTGTGATGGTGTCCCCTGAATAGATATGTGGGCACAGTTGGCAATGGGCTTTGTTGCAAGGATAGGTTCCTGGGTTAGTGGTTCTGTTGTGTGGTATGTGGTTGTTGGTGAGTATTTCCAGCAGAAGAGTGAGTTTGTGTGTGTGGTTTTTGGAGGGGGGTGAGAGAACCTGGATTTGTGCAGGAAATGGCCCACCTTGATTATCATACACATTGTGAAGAGAGTGGTCACTTTGGATGGGCTCTTACCAGCAGGAGAGTGAGTTTGTGTGTGTGTGTGGGGGGGGGGGGGGGCGGAGGGTGAGAAAACCTGGATTTGTGCTGGAAATGGCCCAACTTGATGATCACTTTAGATAAGCTATTACCAGCAGGACAGTGGGGTGGGAGGAGGTATTGTTTCATGGTCTCTGTGTGTATATAATGTCTTCTGCAGTTTCCACGGTATGC